ATTTTCCTCACAAACGTTTCCTAAACATATGAAATCATAGCAGGGTGAGAATGGCCACTGTGCAGAGAGCTCCATTTCCTTAAATATTTAGAGAGTAAAGAGGTCAAAACAGTTTGCCAAGCTAAAGAAACACAGCTTTGTCAAGCAGTTCAACTCCAGACTAATAAACGGAAATCTACGGAGGCACGAACCAACATTGAGCAAATCATCAAGTGATAATTAATGTCTTAGGTCATACTGCGTGTGGATGGAGAGCATAATATGGTGCCGATACAACCCACCCCAAAAAAAGCCACTTATGTCACGAGCTTGAAAATTTCTTTCTGTTCTACATGAGTGATGACAAGCTTCAACTTGCATATCTCCATCAGTAGATGTGCAACAACAGATGCAAGATAATCCCAAGGTTTTAGAAACAAAAATATGTTGCAACCATGCTGATTCACCTTTCCTGACTTCACTTATTTCCCAGCACAGAACATGAAACTGTTTAAGAAATAACATTAAGCAAGTCAAACGTTTCATCTCAGAGCATGGGAAGAACATAAAGTTAGTGATTTATGAAGTGATGTGCACTGGATGGGTTTCACTTGAAAAGTCAAGCCACCTTTGGTTTATTCAGACACACACACACAGACGCGCCTCTTTTGCATCTTGAAACTTTCCATGACTCAGTAGTGAGCTCATGTTGTTCATACTACATCTACAATCTGCACCAAGCCTTCCCACTGACACCGTTCCCATGCAAAACCTCACTGGGAGAAACAGATGGGCTGGCAAGCACGAGGTGACCGCTAGAGAAAGCTCTGTTTACGCTCTGTGACAAATCACAGGGTTGATGGTGTAAGGGGAGTGTAGTGGTGAGCTATTACACTCAATACACTGCTATGAATTAGGCATCTGCTTCCTTTGCTGCTTCTGTCGGTACTTTTGGTTTTGAGCCTTGCTCTGTGAGGCATGTGAAACTCCCTTCCTCTTTCCATTTCTTCCTCCCACCCAATATCCCTCTATAATAAAGCTTCTCTGTAGCAGGCTGCAAACACTGCCAAGTTAAGAGGAAGAGGAACAACACAATGTGAACTAAAGATAGGCTAAAACCCAACTCTTTTGCACAACCACAGTGACAAAACAAAACATGCATGAGTAAACTGCATTATAAGGTAAACAGCGGCATTGTAAGAATACTCTGGATTTATCTGCAGATTGGAGCGTGCACACTTGAGATCAGAAGGAGCTCAGCTTTGATTGACCACTTCAGAGATTGTACAAGCAGGAACTATCAGTAGGTGATACAACTTACCACATGTTTTAGGTTAAAACAGGAGGACCAAACACCACCAATGCTGAAAGAGGCTGAGCAGAGGAATGTAAATGACCTGCTGATCAAAGATAAGCCCGATGTGTACTCCTGTGTGACTCAGTGCAAAATGTTTCCAGTCAGCCTGTCACAAAGATGACAAAAGCCAAGCCAGTGTAGTGTGCATCCTCTGTAACATTTCCATTTACATCATCTCTCCCTCCATATATCCTAAGTAATAAGAAAAACCATCATGCAGACAGTGCAAAAGGAGAGTGTCTGGTCTTGCTTGGTGCCACAGTCTCTTCAGCATGTGCAAATATTTATTACTAATCTCTGAGGGATCCGTAGCCACAGTGGCAAAGCCGTTCCCATTACTGTGGCACTCTGTTGTCAGATGTGGAGCGCTTTACAAGTGTCTGCCATTTAAATTAAGCCTTTTAAAGAATAAATACACAAGATTTCAATTAAAGAAACAACATTACACATGTACTGCAAACAGATCAAAGCATCCATACTGTGCAGTGTTTTAGATGAGTATTTGGTTCAGGCCCAAATGTCAGTGATGTTTTGGCAACACCTGCAGGGAAAAATCATTAAATAGAAACCACCACAGCAGAGGCTGCGAGCACTAGTTTAAATAGATGCTTTCTAAAAAACGGTTAACTAGCTAAGGTAGACAAGCATGACATTTACACTTTCGAATATTTTTGCGTACCAGCTCGATTTTTAAGTGCAAGTTTTAAACATCAGGGAGGAAGTGTCAGTGGATGTGGATCTCCAAGGTGGGCCAAGTTCCATTTCTGATAAAACCTTCATGAGAATACATTCATAACCATTTCAGCGATCCTGTTAAGAAAGCCAGAACCAATTTCATTGACAGAGGTAATAATATACTGTATATTAAAGTGGAAAGTGTCACAGAGTGTGTAAATAAGGAGCAGATCAAAGGGTTGCATCCATTTTTAACATCGGTGATGCATGCAAGCCGAGATCAATTTTCCTTTTTAGCCACACATTACAAACTTGACACCCTGTCTACCTATAATGTATAATTAGCATATCTGCATTCATTTACAGTCTTCATTTCCTGTCTCTTCATTTTAAACAACTCAGTGGACAGACCTGTTAAACCACAGATTATACAGAATGCTGGTGGGGAATGTTAAGTATAAGGGAGCTTAAGTGTATGGTCCAGAAAAAAATTATTGCAGCCAAGCCACAAGTGTAATTTTGCCATTCACACGCCACAGTTTCACAAAGTGTTCTACCTCAGCTACAGCACAACACTCTCCTTTGTTTCAGCTGAGCATCAATGCAGCTGGTGCCTTACTGAGATAAACATTAACCAAGTCAAGGCTAGAGTTTGAGATAGTGTAGTATTTGGACAACATTTCAAAAAGTCTCTTAACCTCAACAAGCCAAAGAGTCGAGACTGTGCAATTCTTAATGGATTAAAATAGGTCAGACTCTTGTAGCCTAAAATGGAAAAAAGCTAACCCCTCATTGTAATTCTTTAAATTCCAGCTTCTTGCCTGTTAAGCTGAGGTTAACGTTTACAGACAAAGGTGTTTTAATGCTACAAGCATGACTTCCCTTTTTCCCTCTGCCTCTTTGAATCCTCTGCAGTGGACAATTGAATGCAGTTCAACTGTGTCTTAATACAATCTGTAACAAGGGAGGTATTCCTTAAACTTAAAAAGCTGCAGCTCAAATAATGAGACATTTGAAGACAATCCTTCCTCAAACTTAATGGTATATTTTCAGTCTCGCCATTACTGAAAAGAGACAGCATTCGCTTACAGAGGCGCTCTGTGTCTAATCAGTCTACAACTAAAGAAGTCTGTTTCCATTTCAGCCCAAGCTTATCAGACAGTTAACAAATGCACAGTTCATAAACTCATCTGCCTCTGACATTAGGATGATATGAGTGACATGCAGTCCCTAATAGGATGATGTGAGGGTTGAAGGGAAACACTGAAATGAAAACCTCTGCACCTGGTTATTAACTTTCTAAAAGGCTGTCGTAGACAAGATCGCCTCAGTCTCAAGCTTCATCTGTCAGAAGCTGCTACTGTATAGGGAACAATGACTTCCTCCATATATACACACTTGTATAAAACATTTACCAGTCTCTGTCAAAGACACATACAAAGTACAGATGTTACTGTTGGTATGATGCTCTCGCAATGAGCTCTGCAGACATGATCGGGCATATCTCAGTACATTTTTTTCCCCATGTAAATATTATCACCTTCTCTGTTAACATAAGCCACAGCATGCATGGCACAATGACGTAAGTTAATAGTTACACAACCCAGTGATGATGAGACTCACATTTATCCATCAGTTCATGCAAACCAGCATGATACCCATGCAAATTCTAGCCCAGAGAGGCTCTGGTTTTTATTTCTGGGACACCTAAAACTACCCTCTGTCCATATACCCGGCATATCTAATCTGTCTGGA